TATTTACACATGTGTCTGGTTTATTTCACTTATGAGTATATGTTCAAGTGGCATCCACTTCAATATAAAGGCTTCGAGATTATTCTTTATAGCTGAGTAATACTCCATTGTGTAAAAATACCACATCTTTTTCAACCATTCCTCAAGTGATGGGCATCTTAGTTGTTTTCAAGATTTGGCTATCACAAACTGTGCTGCTATAAACATAGGCACACATATATCCCTATCATATGATGTTTCCAGATCCTCCGGGAAAATTCCCAGTAGAGGAATAGCTGGTTTAAATGGGATTTCCAGTCCTAGTTTTCTAAGGAGTCTCTACACTGATTTCCATAATGGTTGCACCAGTCTACACTCCCACCAGCAGTGAAGAAGGGTTCCTTTTTCTCCATAGCCTCTCCAACATTTGTTGTTGGGTGATTTCTTTATGGTAGCCATTCTTTCTGGGGTGAGATGATAATCTCAATATTGTTTTAATTTGCATTTCGTGGACGGGTAGTGGTGTGGAGCATTTTTTCATATATTTATTCACTTGTTTAATTTCGTTCTCTGAGAAGTGTATATTCATCTCAGATGCCCATTTCTGGACTGCGTCTTTAAATTTTGGGGCCCTAGTGTTTTTTAGTTCTTTTAAATTCTACAGAACAGACCTTTGTCTGATTACTTATTTGTCATGATTTTTTCCAAATTTGTGGGTTGCCTTTTCACTTTGTTGGTAATTTCTTTTGATGTGAAAAAAAACTTCTCAGTAAAAGGAGGTCCCAGTTGTTAATTCTTTCAGCTGTTTCCTGTGCAATTTGATTTTTGTTCATGAACTCTTTGCCTACCCCTATGTCTTCAAGAGTTCCTCCTACTTTCTCCAGGAGATTTAGTGTCTCTGCTTTAATGTTTAGATCTTTAATCCATTTTGACCTTAGTTTAGTGCATGGTGATAGACCTGGGTCAAGTTTGAGTTTCGGCATGTAGAGAGCCAGTTTTTCCAGCACCATTTGTTAAAGAGGCTATCTTTCTTCCAGTAAGTATGTTTGGCCCCTTTGTCAAAGATAAGGTGGCTGAGTGTGTTCATAGGGGCTCCAGCGTCTTCTAATCTATTCCATTGATCCTCAGGTCTATTTTGTTGCCAGTACCATGCTGATTTTATCACAGTAGCCTTGCGGTACAATTTCAAGTCAGGAATTGTAATGCCTCCTGCCTTGTCTTTATTGCCCAGAATTGCCTTTGCTATTCTAGGTCTTTTCTGGTTCCAAATAAATTTTAGGGATGATTTCTCTAGCTCTAAGGCCAGCTAATTTTAAATGCCCTTAATAGCATGTGTCTGTGATTCTTTTTCTTTCTTTTTGCTATTGTCTCTACATGATCCTTCCTTTTGGCCAGATGATGCTAGTCTGAGAGCAGATTAATTTTCTGTTGTTGTTGTAGCATTTAGTCCTGATATGAACAACATTCACTTGCCAAGCACCTTGTAGTTCTCCAGACTCATGGCCCTGTTAGTCTCACCTTTCCAAATGCAAGGTGTTTGGAGGGCTGTATTCTTTACTGAGACTGGGGGAGGGGACTCTTATTTGCTTGCCCATTGAGATTGTTGGGAGGATTCACATATGTGATACTGTAGGGGTGTGGTCTGTTTCTTGCTGTCATCTAGAGATGACAGTTTGACCCTACAGGACTCTCACTTCCAGTCCTTGCATGGAGTCCTCTGCATTTCGGAACAAGCAGTCTGTAAATTTTCTTTTTCATGTAACATTCACAGATTTTAGGGGTTAGGATGAGGCTATCTTTGAAGGGCTAAGGGAGGAGGAAGCATCTGTACTGCAGAGAGTATAAGTTAATGAATGTATGGTGACACCTCAGAATCTAGTATATCCCATGTTTTCTTTTTTTAAAATTTTTTCCCCATGCTTTCTTAAATTGTATCTTCAATATTAATATTATATTGGCTTTTCTCAGTTAATGAATTTGCTTATATTATTGTTTTTTCTGTTCACATTTTGTTACAGATTTTGGTAACTCATTTATTATTTGAAACATTTTGTTCTCCAAGTGTGAGTTTTTAGGTTATTATGAATTTACTGTATTATATATGTATCTGTAATCTTAATCATTTGAAAAATTGTACACTGGGCATACATTTATGTATTTTGGTTAAGTCTGAAGCAGTGGGTGGATTATAAGTTGTATTAAAAAGATTTTCAGGTTAATAGGACAGTTACAATAATAAATTGCGTATTGTTGTCGTCGTAGCACTCATTGTATTTTGAAACTGTCTCATTGCTATTTGTTTCTGAATAGAATTAATAAAAAAAAATCACACCCGTAACCTTTGGAAAAAATAAAAATGAATGCAGAAAAAAAAAAAAGATTTTCAGTTCTAAGGATGCACATATTTGTTAATATTAATTATTTACCCATTTACTTTGTACATGGTAATTATAATAAGCATTACTGCCAACTGATGAGTTAGGTCTTTATAACTGCTGTAAAAATATTGACGCATTTTTATGGTTGAGGCATGGATGAGAAGGATGGCTTATCTGTCATGTGGGATTGACTGGAGTGTGTACAAGCACCTGGTAAAGCAGTTTTTGGTGCAGCATTAATCAGTTAATGTGGTATAGCACATGGGGTTTGCATACTGTAATTTTTTTAGATTCAGTAAAAGCACGTAGTCCATATATCACATACCCAGGTTTCTAATTGGTGACTCAGAAAGAGCTATTATAGCTAGATCTGAGGGTGCACACTTTGCACGTACTCATCATAATGCAGGAGGGCTGCAGGTCATGGCAGCTTGAGCAGTTTAGCAAGAACCTCTCAGAGTAAAAGGGCCGAGGAATCTCCATCAGCAACAGAGGAGAAAGAAAAAAACAAAAACAACAAAAATGTGTAAGGAAAGGCTGTCTTTAAAAGAAAAGACAAGCTGATTTTCTATGATAGATCTGTGATTAGAAGCCCACAGGGTTGGATTAGTAGAGAATTATTCTGAACCTTTGAGTAGCTAGCAAATGGGGCCAAACTGTACTCCAGAGAGGGGGCTTGTCTGCTGAGAGCCAGGTGCAGTTTGTTTCTATGAGTTCATCACTTGGGGATAACCTAGGCCTAGAGCAGAGCTGTGGATACAGTTGGTTTTGGCCGAGATTCAGGAATGTATCCTTTGTCCTTGGCTGTTTTACTTCTGCTGGTGGTTAGTGACTTCTAGTGGTGTTCCTTCAGTGAGAGTTGAGAAGGTGCTTCTGTGAGTTGAAGTCTATTACTGATCTATCATTAAGTCATGCATATGTTAAAAATCTCTACTTGTTAGAGCTAGTTATGATTGGTAGAAATCACATTTTATTATTTGTTCCAAGCTCAAATACTTAAATTTACATAAATTGCTAGAGGCTTGGAATTCTCAAGTAAATTATTATATTTTGTGGATATTGCAGAGTCTGTATTTTAGCCCTTCAATCTACATGGTCCTCTTTGGTAGTATCTTTTCAGAATGTCTATTTTCTGACTTTTTTTTTTTTCTAGCTGTGCGATGATCCTAGAGATTGAGCACAGGGTCTTTGCACTACACTGTATCCCTAGACTTTAAAACAATTTAAAAAAATGAATTTTTTTTGCCAATTTAAATATTTTATTGCAGACGTTGCATTTCCACTTAAAGTGCGGTGCTATGTTTCCCTGTGTACATGCTCCATTAGTCAAGTATTGAGAATGCCCAGTGCTTTACTATAGCAGCTCAACTTTAATAACTGCCACAGAATTTGCTACAAATTTAAGTCCTTCAATTTTATTGGCTGTGGAAGAATGCTCTTACCTATATTTTGGGTTGGCTTAATCAGCCTCTTCAATAGTGAGCCCTGAGGAAGCACCACCAGAGGGAGGAGCTCCTCCACTAGGGAAGCCCCCAGGCATTCCTCCAGGCCTGCCACCTGCATGCACTCTGGTACAGCTTGGTGATGATGGGATTGTAGACTTTCTGGAGCTCCTTTTGCTGATGCTCAAATTCTTCTTTCTCTGCAGTCTGATTCTTATCTAGCCAGTTGATAATTTCATTACACTTGTCAAGAATCTTCCGTTTATCTTCATCATTAAACTTGCCCTGAAGTTTCTCATCCTCAACAGTTGCTTTCATATTGAAAGTGTAGCTTGGAGGACACTTTGTCCCTTTCTTTGCTTCTCATCTTCAGCTTTGTACTTCTTTGCTTCCTGGACCATATGCTCAATGTCCTCCTTGCTCAAATGGCCCTTATCATTAGTGATGGTAATCTTGTTCTCTTTTTTTGTACTTTTATTGAGTGCAGAAACATTGAGGATGCCATTGGCATCAATATTAGAAGTTACTTCAATCTGAGGAACACCACAGGGTGCAGGAGGTATGCTTGTGAGTTATCCTTGGTCATGGCATACTCATCTTCATATACCTGAATAAGCCCACCAGGCTAGTTGTCAGAGTAGGTAGTGAAGGTCTGGGTTTGCTTGATAGGAAAGGTGGTATTGTGCTTGACAAGGACTCTCATGATGCCACCAGCAGTTTCAATACCAAGAGAAAGAGGAGTGACATCCAACAGCAGCAAATCTTGGACTTTTTCAGACTTGTCTCCAGATAAAATGGTTGCCTGAAAGCTGCACCATAAGCAACAGCCTCATCAGGGTTGATGCTCTTGTTCAATTTTTTTCCTTTGAAGAAATCCTGCAGAAGCTTCTGAATCTTGGGGATAGAGGTAGAACCACCCACCAGGACAGTGTCATAGATCTGAGACTTGTCCAGTTTAGCATCTCAAAGAGCCTTCTCCACAGGGTCCAGAGTGTCACGGAACAGGTCAGCATTCAATTCTTCAAATTGAGCACGAGTAATGGAAAAATATGGAATGCCTCACAAATTTGCGGGTCATCCTTACACAGGGGCTGTGCTCATCTTTGTATCGTTCCAACTTTAGTATATGTGCTGCTGAACTGAGCACAAAAATTTATTTTTCGCTCTTTATTTTTTGGTACTGGGAATCGAAAGTCAGGACCGCATGCTTGCGAGGCAGGCACTACCACTGAGTTATCTCCCTGGCCCTGATTTTTTTTTTTTTTTTTTTTTTTTGGCTGGCACAGGCTGCCTTAAAGGTGGGTCTAGTAAGGCATGTGGAGCTGGGGATCGAACCATGGTATCCTGCGCCAGTTGTTTAGGTGCCTGCGTTTGCATAAGCAGGCACTTAAACAACTGAGCTAACTGGCAGGCCCCCTGATTCTCATTGAAAAGCATGGAGAACCATGTTCTGAGTAGCCTGTGTCCCTCTGCCTGCTGACCTAGGCGGCTCTGGCTGGGGCTGATGATAACCCCAGTTCTGCCCTGGGGGTAGTGCTGCATGTTATAGAGAGGAGGACTCATGTTTTTCAGGGGGCCTTTCTGAAAGAAGGACTTTTCATAAACCTCCATTGCAAAGCTGTGCTATTAGTAGGACTTTTCCATCCAGCTGCTTATTTTAGCAACTTTGCAGCTTTAAACATCAGGGTAGTCAAGATTACAGTGCTATTTTATTTCCTGATGGAGATTTACAAACATATAACAGATAGCTTAGTAACCTTTGTGCATATTTGAGACAGCTGTTTCTTTCTGGAGCTTTCCTCCTTCTGTGGGGTATGGGAGTCCATGATTACTTTTGCGCAGCTGCCGATGTGGCACTCACAGGTCTGCTTCCTGCCTGGGTTGGATCAAAGAGCTGGCCCGCAGGTTGTATTTCATTGTTTTGTTTGGTGGGATGAAGTGCAGTTGTTTTGATGTTGGGTTTGATGGATTTGTTTGCCACTGCATTCATTAGCTTCACATCAAAAAACTGACAGGCTGTTAAATGAAACTTTGGCTTAGATTTTTAGCTTGACTGTTTGGAGACATTTGTGAAGATATTTTGTTTTTGTGTTGCAGCAGCCTCAAGCACTGTGATTGTCTCCAAGGGAAGAAAAGTTATTTACTGTACTGATTTTCTTGAGTAAAAAGAATCATTGTCTTGGGGACAGTTATATCTTGCCTACTGAATTGGAAGCAGAGTGTTTATTGCAGTGGGTGCAGTGTGAGAGGCTTACTAGGGCAGCTGACGTGATGGTACTGTCTTGGATGGGAAGGTAATACTTGGTTACACCAAAATACTGCCTTGTCTTTTGCTTTAGTTTTAAGTGATAGCATATCAATCTGATACGTTACAAAGTCGAAAAGTTGGACTGCAGAGTGGGGAATATTCTTTTATGAACTCCTGGAGCATTGCTTTACTAATTTTTGGCATTTTCATATTTGTATCCCCAAATATTTGGACAAGTTTAAAAATAGATGGTAGAAAATTTTGAGATTGATTTCCCTTTAACCTGAAAATAATTTCAACTATTAAATTGTCTGGCATGTGAGTATCATGACAGGGGTTAATTCTGTTTCACTTTTCAATCTTTTTCTAAAATTAAATTCCATTTGTTTTAAGTCAGTAACATCTGTCCAAAAAAAAAAGTCTTTACTTTTGGGCAATCTTTATTAAACTAACCAGATATCATTTTCATAGTGAGTCTGTAGGTTGTATTTCACTATGCTTTTAATCACAAAAGACTAGTACACTACTATGTCATGTGAAGGGCAAGAAAACATGAGCTACTTTGTAGTGATAGCATTGTGGTGTGCTTGCTAATTGCTAAAGGCGTGTGTGTGTGTGTGTGTGTGTGTGTGTATTGTTGAACCTTGGAATAGTCTGCTTATAGTGTGTGCTGTACCTCTCAACTGCAGTCCAGCCCCTGGATACTAATTGTTTACTCTGCAGTAATATGTATCTGAAAAAACTATATGGTCTTTTGATAAAATATGATAACTTCAATTAAAGCTAATTGAAGAAAGACTTGGGAAAAATTCCTCAAGTGGGATCTGAACTCTGTAGTCCAGCCATGTAATGATTTATCTTTCTCATAGGTAAAGTTAGACTTTCTTAAGTGAGGCAGATCAGCCACGGTCACTGTTCCCTTTCCTTCGTAATCGCTTCTCTGCGCTTAACGAACAAGAGCAACATACAAAGATGGTCACATATGAAGTCTTGATCATTTGATATGACCTCTTTGAATAAAAACATTTTAGTGGCATTCACTAAGGTCACTGGCAATTGCTAGGTTTTCTTTCATTGTTAAACAATTAGCATGGTGATTTGTGAGTCTACAGTCTCTGCTCCCCACACTTGACTAAGGTGATGGAACGGGTAGGCTGCTTCTTTGCTTGTGATCTTATTGGAGTTCAGCCTGCAGACTCCTGCAGAGGCTGGTGCTGTGGTAGTCCTGTGTGCAGTTCTAGGGCCTGGATACTTCGAATCACTTAATTTTTGACTTTCAGACACAAGATTATGAATTTAATAATAGGTGAACTAGGTTTTGCTGTTTAAAATGTCAAAGGGTGTGAAAGAGGAGATCAACTTGAAAGAAATCCTTATTGCTTTAGTAGTTCTACTTCTTTAGAATTAGAAGACCCATCAGATTGTTAGGCAGTTTAAAGAAGGAAGGTATTGCAAGTTAGGCAGACCCAAGGAAAGTCTGATATTAGAAGTCTGGTGCTTAGCTTAGTTTTTTCCATCTTTTACCTACAACTACTATTTTAAATTTACTGTACCTTTTCTTTTCTTTTTTTTTTCTTTTTCTTTTCTTTATTTATTTATTGACATCTGTTATTTTTATTTTAAAGAAAGAAAAAAAAATAAAAACAGTGGTACAAAATCTAAAAACAAAATTTTAGGAGAGTAACAATGGTTAGTACATTGTGTGTTGTTATTGCCAAAGTAGTTTCTCATATTACAAGA